GGCAGAGTTACTACCGAAGATTGGCACAGTAGTTAAGCTGGCCGCTCCATTATCCCTGAAGAGTGAAAAGTGAAGAACTTGGGTTTGTATCAGGATACAGGGCACGTCGCATGTTGAAGGTCCTCAGCGAGGGGGTCATGTTCGGTTGCTTGAGGGAGAATCGTATTTGCTATTGAGAAAGGTGTCTCCAATTGCTAACTTTTCTCCATTTCCTGTTTCAAGTGCGCTCTATTCCATCAACTTATCCCCTAGCCCTTCTTGTTGACAGTTTTCCAGGGGGAAAACTAGAAAAATGGTGAAAAGTTGAGAAAAACCGGGAAGGTGGTAGATGAGATAGATGAGTTGGGCTCAGGAGAGGTTGTCAGTCGCAGAGGAGGAAATTTCGAATGGTATCGTAGTACGCAAAAATTTCCCTAAGCCAGGATGTGCCGTGGAAAGTAATCCACAATGGCAACAAGGCACTCAGCAACTAGTTCTTTTTGGGGAGGTTACTCGGGATGCTGCAGCACTTTCGTAGTAAACCAGTCACTTTCTGGTGCGAATGTCGCACACGCAACGCGATTTGTTATTTCGCTCTCCCAGCCACTCGGACCTCTCGGCACATTTGATTGCAATTTCCTGTGTTCCTTTTTCTTTTCCTTTTTTCTTCTTTTCCTTATTGCTTATTTCTTGCTTACTTGATGACTTCCTTTCTCTCCTTTTCTTTTCTTTTTTTTCGTCTTACGCTGTTTTATTTTCTTTTTCCTTTGTTTGTTTGTTTCAATTAAGGACACAACCTCAACTGTACCATCATCTTTTCCTATTACCTGTTGTACGATTTCAGTCACTTTCACCCAAGATTTTTCATTCGTCAGTCGCACCTGTTGATTGTAACTTCGCTCATATTGCCTTTAAAACCTGCACGGTTTGGGAATCATGACCCTGATATATGAGATATCGATGGTTTTAGTCTTCCGCTGAAAAGTTAGCAATTGGAGACACCTTTCTCAATAGCAAATACGATTCTCCCTCAAGCAACCGAACATGACCCCCTCGCTGAGGACCTTCAACATGCGACGTGCCCTGTATCCTGATACAAACCCAAGTTCTTCACTTTTCACTCTTCAGGGATAATGGAGCGGCCAGCTTAACTACTGTGCCAATCTTCGGTAGTAACTCTGCCGATGTCACGACCTAATGCCAGAACACCTAGAATGCGTCCATACTTTGCGACTTGAGCGATCCAGTCGTGCGATAGAAGAGTTGTGCGACAAACGGGGTTGCTGGACCGCCGCGGCGGCAAAAAATGATCTAGCCTGAATGAGTTAGCGAGTCAGCGGTCCCTGACAGACACGCGACCGCTCATGTCGCTTGCGCAAATCGCTCGCATCGCGAAGTACGAACGCGACGAATGTTCTTGTGTAAACAATTCTGCAGATATGCAAAAAGATGCTTCCAACTTCTCAAGACGTAGCCAATATCTGTGAAGACTTTATTAGAAAACGAAATCTCATACATAGAAAATGTTTAAGAATGACTCACTCCAAAGAAAAAATATGCTAAGGTATGTATGTACACGAGGATTGGAATTAAGAAAGAAAACGCAGAGGACAAAATGACAAACCCATCGATAAACAGCTCACTTCTATGATCTAGGTATGATTCATTTATATAATACAACATATGCAAGAGTTCCATAGCTCAACGAGCCCAGTGACTAATTCCCGATATCACAAATGGGTAGAAGAATGGAAACTGGGAAGGGAAGTACTATCACCAAACACTCGGTAAAACAGAACAGAAAGAAGTACACTACGAATAGAATCTAGTAATGTACACAGCAGAAGCCCCTAAACAGATGAAAACTGAAGCTAGAACACTGAAAAGTGGAACATCAAAACAACCCCTCTGTACAGTTCTCCCCGAAAAAATTTCACTCCTCCCAATCCACCCAGTTATCCTCCTTCTTCTTCGACCCTTTCGTTCCTTCGTCGTCCGTTGCACGAGGGGTGAGGGGTCCTGATTGTTCGTCCTCGCCATTTGTCGAGCTTATCTCCTGAAAAAAATATAAATTTGATCAACGTGAGCTAGTGCAGCGGCTTGTACACCGAAAATTCCCCGAAAAGTGGTGTTTATACCTTGTAAAGGTGAAGAATACGCGACGAAAGAAGGTATGTTATCAGTCTGGAGAACCTGACCCGAGAAAATGCGAGTTCGTAAAAATAGCGAAAAACGAGATAAAAGCCCTATGCCCGACTAATGAATCGCGCTTTCCCTGACTCGCGTCTTCTCTCGAATCGCTGATCTCCAGATCGACAGGCGTACCCTCTCGGCCACGTATCGCGGATTTTTCCACATTCGCGAAGTATAAACGTAGCTTGAAGACACGCTGTACATTCACCCGTGAGATGTGTCCTTCCCATGTTTGGTATACATGTCTGCAGCTACGAGAGCGCCTCTTTCTAAGAATGCATGAAGAATGAAGTTGAAGAGTAGGGATGGCTGAATGTTCTTTAACACGCCATACGCACTACGCTGCGGAACCAATCTTCGCAACTCTCTCGCACATCTTGCCACGCCACACGCAAGACGCCGCGCGAACAATCCTTTGTAACTCCTCGTCCCCCAGATCGCGCCACGCCAAACGCAACATGCTGCGCGACCGTTCTTCGCAACCCTCTCGCACATCACGCCACAACGCAAGACGCCGCGCGAACAATCTTCTGCAATTCCCCCGTCCCCGCACACCATGCGAGCCTAACGCAACGTTTCGCACGACCGTTCTTCTACAACTCCGCCTATATCACACTACGCCCCACGCAACACGCCGCATGAGCGCCCATACGTCTAGACCAGCCATGTGCACTTCCCTGTACCCCCTCACGTTTGGAAGGAGCGTATGCAACCGAAGAACTGCTGCGCTATCTGCTATTTTTTGGTTGCATATTTGGCCAGCGTGTCAACACAATCACCGCAAGACGTTGTCATTCAGGTCCTGCAGCGAACATGATGGCAACACGCCCACTATAGCGTTTTGCGTACCTGTGCCGTGATGCGTGAGATGAAATAACATCAAGCTGTTTCTACCCTTCAGCTTCATTTCCACACATTTCCGTGGGGAAAAAAAGCGGCATACTTCGGCATTTACAGATCTCTTTACCTACAACAAAAGGATCTATGTCGCATGTGAAAGCACAGCGTGTCTTCAACGCATCAGCGCCCCAAATAGCATTAGTTAGGTGATAAACCAAGTGCAAAGCACAACATAAGTAGGAGGCAAGCTAGAAAAGTCTCACCCGTCCACCATTCGAAGGCTTGAAATGAAATGAAATGACACAGTTATGAAAAATAAACACTGGCAAGGGAAGTTACTAAAAGACAAAGAAGAAAGATGAATGGGTATGCTTATGCGGTAAAGCACAATCTCCTCATATTTATTGACAGACTAGAGGAAAGCGAATGCCTTTTTTGAGTAAGCGGGATTCATCAGCTTGTTTACGTCCCGACAAAGGATCCACTTTCGTCAGGCAGACTGAGCAATCGCTTAGGAGTGGATTCTAAGCGGAAAACGAAATATTCAAAAATTCTTCACCTCGACGTAATTCTTCTCGCTGCACACACTCCAGTCATCCGCGGAAGCAGCAGGGCTTGTGGGTTGTTGGTCAACGACAGCAATTGATCCATCCGATCCTGGCGAATCTCCTCCTTCTTTTCCTGAACCTAAAAACGCAATTCCTAATCAATAAAGTTATAAGATCAGATACAATGTTACTGTTGGTGGGAGGAATGAAATCCAATGTATTTTCAACAGCGCACGCCTACGTTGGAGATTTCCAGCGAGGGGAGAGGGGTCTTACTTGGTCAGCTGGAGGAAGGGGCAGTACTCAATCTCGAAAAGAAATATTTTTAGTTGTTGACTTCTGTCAGTTTTTTCCTGTTTCAGGCGCCTATACTCCCCCCTCCCCTCCCCTCCCTTTGTCTGACTGCAGTTTCCAGAGGAAAAGCGGAGGCATTTCTGGAAAGGGTTCCGGAGAAGTGAGGATGAATTAGGTAGGTAGTAGAAAGGATCGGTGGTATAGGAGGGGGTCGTACCAAAAGAAGAAGTTTTGAGGGCGAAGTGAAGATTTTTCAAAAAGTTTCCGCACAGGAGGGCGTGCCCCGATTTTGACTGCAAACAAGGGCGTTAAACTAGCGGCAGCACATTATGAACATTGTTATTACTGAGCCTAAACAGGGAATGGAAAGAGATCCCTTCCCCTGTTTAGGCTCAGTGAAAATAATGCTTTCATAATGAGGCTATCTTCTGGTCATCTGCGTTCTAACGAAAGCCTTTACTATGGAACACACTTCAGAAGTGAGGCCGATTGCCCTCCCCCCCCCCAGTAATGCGCCCAAACAAGAACCAGCTTATCATTTAACCTGGGCCCATCATGCCCTTTCGTTTGGAATCGAACGATACATAGGTCAGAGGCATTTGAAAGCATGCCGCCCTTTCTGTCTCTGCCCGCTATTCCATATGCAATGCGTACTATACAGAAATACGCTAAACGGCCAGTTTTCCTAACGATACCTATGGCTCCATGTATGGCGTGGTTGTGGCGTAAATATGGTATCAAGCATAGGGCGGTGACAGGGTGACCAAGCTACCCAATCGCTTAGTACCCTTGCCACGCATTTAAAAACGGGGAGAACGTTATACTTTCACGGCTGTGGTCCTGTCCACCCGATCCCTGACCAAAAAAGCTCACCTATCACTACGCAATCCTACTGCGTTACTTTCGAGTTTTCATAAGCGACACTTTTTTGAGTAATACCTTTCTTCTGCTTCTTTCCATCAGCACCAGTCTTGATCGTTAGTTCTTTCAATGAGAATGAATGACGCAGCTCCTCGTCCATTTCAGCGATCTCTACAGCGAAGAAGTATCGTGACCAGAAAACTTTGCTGTCTATTTCCGAAGGAACCTCAAGACATCGTAATGTAGCAAATTACCCTTGAATTATCCAATTACCTATGAAGAAGATTCTTTAAAAATAAAGTAAAGCGCTGATGTAGCACAGGTAAGCGGATTCCGTATGTACGTTAGCTGTTAGAAATAGACACTCCACTGACGTCAGGTAAGACGTTACGTCCCCTAAGGTGTCACTGAAAATAAGGAAAGGGGCGCAGTTCGGCTTGACGGGAGCTCCCAGTGGTACCCAGCCCAGCTTGTACGAAGTCCCGTGGATACCTGTGAACTCCTCTTACCAAAATAACTCTTTCAAGCGTCTCGGACTTTCACGGAGTTTACAGGCCTGACCTAAGCGATACCTGTTGTTTAACATGAAGCTACAAAAGGAATAGCGAAAGTCTAAAATGCCCCATCAAGCCGAACTGCGAACAGGCTTCCTCGTCACTAGCCTGTTACATGGCATGCCATTCCGCGTGAGATGGTATGTCACCCTTTCACCGGTAACGGACCTGCGCTACTGTGCTACTGGGCAACGTCTGCGTAGAAACTGGATAAAAATCCTTGAAATTAAAAAAAAGAATCAAATGAAGACAAACCAATCTACCCAAAACATACCAGCTTAGAGTATATTTCCCTTAACGTTGGATTATTTGCAAGAAGCACATTGATTTCGGCATCATATTCTTCAATATTGAATCGAGCTACCCATTTCGAATATCCCTCAGAATTCTCCGGTTCTTTACAGAAAGTGTCTTCATTTGATTGCAATTCCAATAATTTTTCCTGTAAAAATTATATTGAAGTAAAGGGAAAGACAGATGAGGAGGCGAACTAGTATTGAGCCACGTTAGAGTCACGTCCATACTTTGCTAATGTAACCAGCAACAATGGATGAAGACTAATCGACTTCAAGTCACAACTTCTCCGAGAATGCAAGTGGACGGAAATAGCGGATTCCCATCTAGCCCCTTCCCGCCATCTCCGGAATCGCGAGTTCGACAAGGAGAACTTATAATTTCCTTTTCGCGCATACTCCTAGTCTGCCGATCCTCCATATTCGCTAACTATGAACGCTTCTCAATGGCTTGGGAGATTTATATTTCATCCGAATCAACTCACTGGTGGCAAAATAGTTTTGCGGTAGATCCTCGGTCGAATGACTTCAGTTATCTCTTCTTCTCCACCTGTAGTTTCTTCTACGGCCAAGCTTTTAACAGTATCGGTGACGGTGTCCACAACGGATTTTACCCATCCTAAGCCCACAGCCGCGCCTTTCTTCAACCTGAAAAGTGCAGTAACTCATAAAAACTACAAAAACAAGCATAAGAATTTCGAAACTGCCTACAATTGGGCAATCTCAAGAAATAATGCAAATGAGCGGAATGGGCGCTTTACAATGAGGATGAGTATTCTGCAGTACAGCCCAACGAGCCCCGATGACGAAAGAACTGTTTGACCACCCCCAGCTGCACTGTTTCCCTTCGAGGCTTGAACAAAATCTTCCTAGTCTTTCACATGCACTTTCTTCTCTTCCTCACACATTTAATACCAAAACGCCACTTCTTACTGATATAACGCTCAGAATAGCAGTAAATAAAGTTGCACAGATCAAGAATGTTAGGACACTGGCATTGGAACATGTGCCTCGGGAGGGGCTTTTTCGCAAAATCTGCGTTAGCTCCAGTATAGCAGCTTGCCATTTTAGAGGTGAACGAGCTCCGGTGCTGCGTTAGCCACCTAGCGTACCAGTTTCATTCATATGATAAGAGACTTACTTATCCCAGAGCTGCCCATCATCCACCCTTGAAAAATGCAGACCACTATGGCACTTGATACAAAACTGCAGATTGGCCCCTCCCGAGGCACATAGGGAGACATTATGTAATGGCTTCTGTGAAACCCACTTTGGCAGCCAATGAGAGAGATCCGACCACACGAGAAACTCATCATGCCAAAACATTCTGTGCCATTCCTTCAGCACAATCACTTGGTTCACTTCATCCTGCAATCCGCGTTACCCGTCAATAGTCCAACTGTTTAAAAAGAAAAAGTAACAGAGCTGAAGAGTCCAAGAGCGCGCTGGAAGTCTTAGCAGGAACCAATTCATCCAGTTCCCTGGTCAGTCAAACGATAAGGATGAAAAGCTAAACAATCTTGCGCATGAAAGACGAAGGCTGGAACACATTGCTACTGCGCCCTCATTTGCACCTTTCCCGCTCCAGTTACTAGTAGGGCTTGTGTTCAGAAAAATAGAGGCCTTTTCCTGAAATCTGAAACTTGTGGTCGGTGGGTTCGAGAAAGAAATTCCAATTTGTGGATAAAAATTGATTTACCAGGAGGCAGAAGAATCTGTCTAAAACGTCCTGAAAAGAGTCCCACCCGTTTGGAGATGACTGTGACTACTGAGCGAGCATGTGAAAAGCAGGAGGGGAAGAAACACAGGGAGCGCGGAAGGGAGGCCAGAGAAAAGAAAAAAATAAGTTGCGACAGCCACGCAGCGCTATTAAGGTTGATGAAAGGGCAAAGCGGAAACCGGGGCGGAACAATCCCTCTCTTTCTCAGCCCTTAGTTTAGGTATACCCGCTGCGAATTGGTCCCTTTGCACGAAGAAACGATTCTACCCATAAGTCAGTCGCGTGATCTGGGTTGAGGAGTTGTCGTGTTTCAGAAAGGTTGAGAAATCACTCACAGTATGCAAGATCGATCTTAAGCCGTTGTCCATGAACACAGTGGTGGGAGTAGAAAATATTCCGTACGGGTCGAATATGACGATTGTATCGAACGAAGATGTCGGCGAAAATCCGATGTGTTGTCGAATGGTAGTACGAACCTGGAACCAGAGTACTTCAGAGCTATGAGGGGAATTGAATGCAGCACGTGATGATGCAGCACGACCCTCCCTCACCATCTTTAGTACAAGAAAACT